GCTCAAGAGTTTAGATTCGAAATTCTCTTAACATTCGTCGAATTTCTTCGTATTACATTAATTTTCAGAATTCGGAAATTTGTATTTGAAATTCTTCAATTTTTTTTGAATATATTTTATTAAATAAATTACATATTAAATAAATTACTATATATAAAATTGTTTGTAATAATTGTGATGATCAGTGAAATTAAATATATTTGAATTATTTCGAATATTTATTTTTTAAAAATCTTAGCAGAATTTCGTTATTTGTTTTTTTATAATCTTCGCAGAATTTCATTATTTATTTTTTAAAAATTTTCGCAGAATTTTGTTTCTTGAAATTCTGCGCAGTTTTTGATGAATTTTTTTTTCTAAAGACTGCCGACAGGGTCGCAGATCTGCGCAAAAATGTCACCTGCAGATCTGCACCCCAAAAAATTTCCCGATGTTACAGCATGTATCATGGGCTACGTCCCGAACTTGTATTTATTTTTTGCGTATATTAATAAACATTTTTTTCTCAGCAAAAGTGATCTGTGTTCCAAATTGAAATAAACACAATAACTTTTTTATTTTGAATACTTGTATAAAAGTGTTATCAAAAATGGAATCTAAGATTAACTTACTTAGGCAAGAAAATGCCAGACTTGTGGCTAAAAATTACAAGCTTGAAGTTGAGATCATGAAACTGAGGCAGATTATTAAGGAAAATGCTAGGTGTGATATTAGAGTTGAGGAACTAGAGCAAAAAATAGGGAACTTGAGGCTAGACTTATGATATTGGAATAGAATTCCTTGGTGGTGAGTGAACAACCACAGAATGATAAGGAAGCGATTGTAAAGGTACTGCCAGAAGTAATGGTATCAAATATTGATTTATCTAATATCGTAATAGACCAGCGAAATAATATTGACACTAAAACCTCAAAGGAAATGAAGATAAATGCTTTCTTGGTTAAGGTAAATAAGAAAAGCATTGGCGATAAAATTAGAAAGAGGAGGCGAAAAAAGAAAGTTCAGTATAAGACGATTGCCAAAGACTCATCTCCAGTTACTTCAGATTTGACTCACTGTGAAGAGGATTTCTTTATGACTAGCGTTAAACCTATAACCCTTCTAGAACAGATAATTAAAGAATTGATTCCAGTTACCTCTAAAGTTGTCTGCTAAAATTAGGGAGTTTTGGCATGTCGAAATTGTTAAAACTATTTCAACATTTCGACATTGGCTTTCTGATTTGTCAAAATGCCAAAATAGTTTCGACATGTCAAAATTGTTGAAATCTAAAAATATTACATTTTACGTAATAACTCAGCATCCAATAATTGTAAAAAGAAGCACCATATGTTATTAGAATTGTTCATAACGATGAGTCAAATGGTGGTTAGATCATCTTTTTACGATCACTAGATGCCGAGTTATTGAGCAAAACGTCAAAAATTAGCATTTTGTATTTTGCGATACTGCACCATTTGACGTTTCATTTAATAACTCAGCATTTAACAATCATAGAAAGATGCACCAAAAGGGTTGATCACCCTTTCTCAGTGGTAAGTGACTGAGACCCTCATTAAGCCTGAGTATGGTAAGGTTGCAAGTTCAATTCCGCTAATCACGGAAATTAAAAGAATTTTACTGCAGACATTACAACCAATAGCGTGAAGATATAGAGATTAGCGTAGTTGGACTGCATCATAGTGAATTAGTGTATACTATACTTGTAGCTGAAACCTTTTCACATAATTTTTGGCCACATTTTTAAATCAAAATTAAGTTAAAAAATAATAAAAATTAATCTCTACATCCAGCCGAAACTATAATATAAAGTCTTTAAAGTTTCGGATGGATTTCTGGATAGTTTTTAATAATTTATTATAATTAAATTACTGAAAGGCCGAAACCTTGTCCAGCTTCATGGAGGTTTCGGCTACATGTATAGTGTATACAGTTAGGCCGCACATTTCAACTAAAAGTCATGGTGTCCTTCTAACGTTCTCTATAAGGCCATTGGCATGTGCGCAGTCCTGTCCTTGAGGTCACTACTATACCTTAGGGGGACTTCCTGTCCAGGTGGTCACTCTATGATACCACTTGGGGTCAGTAATGGCTAGATGATCGTTCTAGATAGTAAAGCTGAGGGTGCAATGTCTTAGTGGTAGTTTGACCTTCTGTTAGGTCTTAAACCAACTAAGGTGTTCGTACACAGAACAGGTAGTATAGTTATGGGGTTCGATTCCCTACTCTTTGGGTTCTGGTTAGTGATCTTTGGTGATTGATACCCACCATAAGGGGTGATCCTGGACAGATGCCTGCTACTTCCTGTCTGAGTGGTCACTACAAAGTATACCACTTGGGGTAAACAACATCAGGAAATTTGTTTAGGCGTAATTT